GTAACCCCCCAAGAAATCCAGTCAGCGGGCCCAGAAGGGACTGGAAGGGAGTCAGGATCTCATTCAAGGGATACGAAACAGGAAGACCAGGAGGGCTTTGAAGCCACCAACGAGGATCTGACAAGCCAGATACTCTAGAAGGAGTGAAAGGAAGTTCCTCGCCTCACGACGGAACAGTTAAAGAGCAGCAAAGGGACAAATCTACTGAGACAAACTATAGGAGGATATAGGCAGGGAGAAACGAGGACCAGAGAAGAGGAGGAGAAATTCCCGAAGGAAAAGGGCCATCCGCGGAGCTCTGCCTCTGCCTTCCTTCCCATTTTTCTGGGCAGGATGCCTGGGAAGGCCGGTTGCTAGGGAACGGGAGTGGGAGCTGAAGACCTCTCCTCTGCTGTCCCTCACAGGCACCCAGTCAGAAGATGGACCTGGAGTGTAAGGGAGGAAGGACGGCCACGACAGCAGACAGAGGCCAACAGGAAGGCTAGGAAAGGAGCAGGCAGGGAAGGCGATGCTCCGTCTTTGCCACGCAGCGCCAGGAAAGGCTTGCATGGCCAAGAAGCGGGATGTTCTGCAAACCGCTTATGGCTGAGCAGGAGGCACTGCCTTTGGTGAAGGCTTCAGCATCGCTCAGCCACCGAAACACACACACACACACACACATACACACACACACCCTGCAACCTGGTTTGGCCTCGTGCAGTAAGCCCACTCATCTTTTTTACAGGGAACCGACGGCGGGGGGGGGGGGGGGGGGGGGGGGGGGGGGGGGGGGGAATGAGCAGAGTCATTGCTTTCTCTGACATCCCTTCCCTCCAACATGGGAAGGCTCGGATTAGAGGCTTTCCTATAGTCCTCGCAATCTGCCTACGGGCTGGATAAATTGGGGGTTTAACTTGGCCGATAGTCATTTCGATGAGCACGAAACCTAATGTATGCATTATGATAATTGGGGATTTTTTTTTCTCCTCCAAATTGGTTCCCCCAAAGCAGTTGGATGGTATACGTCACAGAAGGGGGGTGGGAAATCTGCATACATTTTGTTCTGACCCACGGCCTTTTCCAACAAATCAAACACAATCCAAAAGGAACAGAAACCTTGTAATGCTTTCACAAAATAATTAGCTGTGATAAGCACAAGCCTTGCCAAACTGTGTGAGGCTTGCCAAAAAGATAACAGGCAAGAAATAATGTGCAATACAAGAATCTTCAAATACAAACTCAGGATACTGGAATGTCCATGAGGCTGGAGTTTCAAAACGTCTTTGCCTTCTGCAAAGAACGTTTCTTTCACAGCTGGCTTTTATCTTCTTGAAGGAGGGGCCATTACCTTGTAGCCTTACTCCCAAGTCACCCCTGCTGCTGTAGCCGCTCTTTCCTGCGAGCAATCCTGCACACGTGCGCACTTGGCACAGGCTCCTCGGGAGCCTCCTCATCGCTTCTGCCAGCCCCCACAATCTCTGAAGGCAGCAGTCTACTCCCTAACGGTCCTGGCCCCTCATCTGAGTCCTCGCTCTCCTCAGCCTGTCCACACCTGCTGCCGGCTAACCACAACATCATTGGTTAATTTGGCCCGTTGCAAATCCAGGGCACCATCCCTTGACGGCCAGGCAAATGCTAGCGGTTGCTCAAAGGCTCCATGGATTTGAACAGCCCAATTCTTCCCCAGAGCGGAAGAGAAGAAAACCCAGTTCCCAACCTTGCATTTCCTGCTCCTCTTGCAACCGTCCCCTCCAACTCCCCCTCTCTTTCTCAGAATCTCAACGGACTCTTTCACCTGAAACAACCCTTGGAGAGAAATTATACTTCCACACTAAATGTGCAGTTAAATAAATCATATTATCCAGCCTGCCTGTTCCGCAGGGACTCCTTTTGACCCTGGAAATGCCTTGGAAAGATTCATGCAAGTCAGCAGAAGCCAAACAGCCTCAGGAAAGCTGACGCATGTCACACGCCGGGGG